TTATTTAATAATAATAATAATAATAATAATAATAACTCTTATTAAACATTCATTTCTTGCATCAAAGAACAGCAAGAACAGCACTGATGCATTATTTTTGTTATTATTATTATCAATAATAATAATAATAATAATAATAATAATAATAATAATAATAATGTTTTCTATAATTATTAAAATGACTAGTGACTTCACATAATTGTTGATTTTCTTTAAATACAAGTATAATTTCAAAATTGATTGCAACATCACTTGAATGAATGAATAAATTAAAGAATGAATGAATGAATGAATGAATGAGGCATTTATATAGTGCTTTACTGTGTATTGCTGTACACCCAAAGCACTTTACAATCATATGGGGGGTTTTTGTGCCAAAAACATACAGTACGTGTGAATAAATATCACATTTACACACCATAGGTTCATATCTACACTTCAATCTTGGCTTTGTCTCATTTAAAAAAGAACGTACGCAGCAGTGACCGTTTGTATGGCTTGTTAAAATAAAACAGATAAGCGCTCTTGAGACTGTAAAGTCTTTTCTACGCCAAGGTCAGTTTCTGTACGCCTTACACTAGCATTCAAATGAGAACAAAACATTGAAGTACAGGTGAACTGAACCGTCATCTGCAGCCATTCAATCCCACACACACCTTAACAATGACACAAACATGCAGTTACACAACATACAGACAAACACACTCACAGAATAGTCATCAAACAATAGCTCTGCACAATCCTGTCTCCTGACAGTTGAAATTTTAGTTAAATCATGCTTGTTTATGAACAATGTTACCTCAGGATAACAAACTCATTTTTAACTTTTGTGCATGAATCACATTGGCAAAAAATGGTTAATAATAAAATAAATGACTTCAGATAAAGCAATAAAAAGCACTGCTTTCTGGCAAACATTTTAAAATGTTTTTCTGGCATTTTGGTGCAGAATGCGGAGGTCACACATATTGCTCTAGAGAACTGTGCTCACAAAAACATTTTTATAAATTTTTCACCCATCAAAAATATGATTCACATTTGTTTTTGAAATTTAGAGTCAAATTAATTATTTGTATGTTTTGAGGAATTGCTTAAATGTGCTGCCCAGAAGCAACATCGTGCCACAGTGTAACAGATATGATGCTGCATAAAAGAGAATATTGCTATTAGTTAGAATTTGTATGCATTATTTAGCTCCATATCTTTTTAACATTTACATATTATTAGGTACATTTAAGTCCAAAGTAAATCCAGGAACCAATTCAGTGGCAATCCATTCTCCGGTCCAAACACGTCTCAGGCTCTGAATCACATAATGTGTCACACAATCAGGGCTTGACATTAACTTTTTTGCTCAGCAGCCACGGTGGCTAGTGGTTTTCCAAAATTACTAGTCACTCAGCATTTTCACCGGCCATAATTTTGTTGCTGAGTAATTACATTTTATATGATTAAAGTTCACAACTGCATACTAAAATTTACTTAAATTGATTTCCAGGTCATTTTTGCCTATATAAAAGGCAGTCTTTTTACTAACCTTATTAAATGTAGGCTATGCCTAATTTTTCATATCAAATAGTTAAATTTTACTTTTTTAACAAATAGTAATAAGTAGTAATATCAAATACTAAAAAAAAAATGCAGTTAATATAATGAGACACTATAGGACTGTTACCAATTAAATGAAATCAGAATCAACAAAACAGATCTTTCCACTACAGAATAAAGTGAAGCAGCTGAAGTGGCATTTAGATGCATTTTTACACAGACAAATGTAATGAAGCTCAAATGCAGCATGCTGCATGCCATGAATGCATTTACGCTGCAAAATTACAACTGCATAAATAATGTTATGTTTTAAAGTACAATTTTAAATTAAAAGTTTTTAATTTTATTTTTTAATATACAAATATGAAATAGTTTTAAATATGAAAGTAAACCACCATCTTATTGAGTGAGTCATTGAGTCATTCATTCAAACGATTCGTTCAGACGGCTGATTCATTCAAGAATGAACCAAGTGCCTGTTTTTATAAACGGGTTACTGAATCCTTGATTCGTTCGATACACTGAATCAATTGGTAACGAAACACCGCGTGTGTTGCTCAGACATGCGCGAATAATGCAGTGATCTTTGTTTTGAGCTATTTTCATTAAATAGAGCACAAACAGTCAGCACTGATTGCCTAACATGTAGCCTAAGTCACTTAATAGGCTATTAACTAGCTACTTGTTTGAAATCAATGTTAAATTTGCAGTCATACTGGTTTTCAGGGTAAACTGCATACTTTTGGTCGTGTCATGTTGCTTAACTAGGCTATATCATATGTTATAGGAATATAAAAGCTACATTTTTACCGCAGTAGTATGTTTCTTCTGTGTGCAGTTGCATTCATTTGTTTTGATTTATTCACGAGATTCTTTCACACACAGACATCACGTTTGTTGTCCGGTCGGGCAAGTAAAACGTTCTTTCACTTGCCCCTTCAAAAAATCCACTTGTCCCAGACAAGCATTAATGTCGAGCTCTGCTACTGTCTATA